TCTTGAATTTTTTAGAAATTATCGATATTAACGCAGTGTCCGGTCAATTAGTTTGGTGACTGTATATATATAGATACACATATATACAGAGTGCCCAGTAAATCTCCTACAATACTTTGGGAGATAAAAGAATAAAGGAATAATTCAAGCATTCGTACTGAAGATGATTATTTTGAACATCTTATTTAATTCGTTTTAAATGCCTGTTTATGTTTATTCTTTATTCTAAAAATAATGTATTTATAAATATCGAAAAATTGAGAAAAAAAATTAAAATTAAAAAATTAAAAAAGAAGAATGCTAAACAGATTAACTGTGCCTCTACATGGTGAATCCAGAAAAAAATGAATTATTATAACTAATTATGATCAGTATTATAAATTATGATTGATACCATAATTATGATTATGGAAAATAAATTACAATTTTTTTAACATAAAACTGGTTTTAACTCGGAATCAGCTTATTTCCGGACCTATGTTTATTGTATAATTTTTCTTCTTTCTTTTTGGATCCAGAATCACCTCTCAAAGTATTGCAAGCGATTTACTGGACACCCTGTGTTTAATGAGTATATGTATAAAAGATCCTTTGTTTTCATATTTATCGGAAATCTTCGTTGCAAAAGAATCTCAGTAATTCCAACAATTTTTGTGATCGACTTATGAAAGTTCCCAATAATGCCGTTGCCTGATGCGGTGACTGATCCATTCTGTATCACGAATCACTTCATACTAAATGTATTGCATGAAGAAGCACATTTGCTTCCTTCAGAATTGCTGCTAGAAGGTTAAAGAAACATATAATGTATTGCCCGGATTGCATTAATATTTAATTGATAAGATATATATAAAATGCGGGCACGCCAAGTTTTTGCTTCACTGTGATCCCATTGGTCATTTTAGTCACTTTAAGCTTGTTTTATGAAACTTAAAAATATTTGGAAAGACAATGGCAGAAATTAAAATAAGTCGTTTTACTGTATGATTGTTACAACACTTTTCTGTAACTTATGAATTTACTTATCATTTTTAGTGGTCACATTCTATGGAGAAAGTAAATACTGGAAGCATTTATGGCATAGCTTGGTCTAGCGATAATACGCAAGTGGCTATGGCATGCAGTAATGGAAAACTTTTGACTGGACATGTTATAGATAGGTAAGTTTCAATGCAATTAAGTATTTAAGAAGTTCATATCAGGATTTAAGCATAAATATAGAAAATAAAAATTACTACAATAAGTAAGTAAGGCAAATGATAATCGGTGTGGTTATTGGTACGCAATATTTGATTTACATAAAATTTACTTTATTCTAAAAGTCAAACGTTTCGATTATCTTTTTTAGCCATCTTCTATGACAATTTACAATAGTTACATTTAACTCTCGCTCTTAGTTTTTTAATGTGTGTATTCTTCCACGTTTAGTGAGTGAGGAAACAGTTATATGTACCTCCAATAGCTGTCCGTGCAGTTGAAGGGCTGTATGGTTTAGCTGTATGTTCTCAAATTTAAATCAGTGTAAAAAAGAGGAGAAAATTGATAAAAAAATTATGTTACAAAACTCACCTCGAACATAATAAAATACACACTTCGCATCTTGGCAACGATAAAATTAATAAATAACAGTAATGAATAAATATTATAGTTAAAATTAATGATGTATAAACTTGGTCAAAATTTAAAATCCTCTTTTTTATACTGATTTATATTTGAGGACATACGGCTAGATCATGCAGCTCTTCAACTGCACGGACAGCTATTGGAGGTACCTACTATAACTGCTTCCTAACTTACTAAACGTGAAAGAATACATACATTAAGAAACTAAGAGCGAGAATTAAATGTAACTATTGTAAATTGTCATTGAAGATGGCTAAAAAAGATAGCCGAAACGTTTGATTTTTAGAATAAAGTAAATTTTATGTAAATTAAATATTGGTGGTTTATAAATATTATTATCAGTAAAAGTGATAATGTGTGCTATAACTGTACAGAATGCTTCAAAGGCAACAAATTGCAACAACGAACTGCATATTGGTAAAGAACTCAGTTTGAACTGTGGCTTTGTAACTGATATCAGTTTAACAACGCATGTTCTGTAATATTCTGTATAATTTTCATTCGTCTAACATAACTTTTTCTTGGTGTTCGAATTTTTATTTCCGCTAGTATATTTCAAATTATATAGATTTTTTTTCTTTAATTTATCGTTCCTTATAATATACATATGAAATAAAATATTATATAAAAAATTTAACATTTTATCAATTTAGTTACAAAAAAGTAATGAATTTTGCGTTAACCAATTTTTGTTATTCTATGTCTTTTAATTATTTTTGTTATTATTATAATATATTAAAATTAAAATGTATTTATATATATTTTTATGTAATAATAGGAGATTAGAATGGGATAATTATGAAGCTACTTTGATAAGAAGAAAAGTAATCGAGGTTAGAGAAGTTGGCAATGAAGTTCGTGAAGTATTAGAAATCTCTGATCGTGTTGTACATCTTGAATTTGGCTTTGATCATTTAGTCGTCATCACACCCGCTCAATGCCATGTATACTCTGTGACAAATTGGAATACACCTGCGATATTTAACTTAAAGACAAGTACCATATCTGCTGTACTTCTTGCAAAAAAGTAAGTTATTATATATACCAAAATAATATAATAGAAATAATATAATATTATAAGTAAGTTATTAAATATATTCAAAATAATATAATAGAATAAATAATGGGCTTAGTGCAAAAATTGTTCAACTCCATTTTTTTAAACTTACTACAGTATTAACATAAAACTGTTTTGCCAAGTATTATGTCAAATGTTTTACGAAAAGCATTGAAATATAAAGATTACTTTGTTCAGAACTCTCAAAGCTGTTCAATTTTTACATAAAAAAACATAAAAAGTATAGAAGTTAAATCCAAATTCAAAAAGTTATTTTTATTAAAAAAATAGACCTAACTGATTTTTCTATCAAGTTCTGTTGCAGTAGAAAAATTTTATTAAAGTTTTGTGCAAGTTTTGCTGAAAATAATGTTTCAATAAAATTGAAAATTTGCAGAAAATTTGCTGCAATTTTATTAAAAGTAATTTTTTTAGCAAAAGTAATAAAAAATTGCTGAAATTAAACTGCAATTTCTCTGTAAATTATTTTGAGTTTGTTAAAATTTCTCTGAAACTTTATTGAAAATAATTAAGTTAGTTTAACAACTGGTTTTGATCAATTTAAATAAATAATGTATTCATTTAAATTGAGTGTAATCACTCAAATTTTGAGTGTTTTTTTTGTACTTACTAATGGATTACATGGATTAAAAACTTATTATATTAAAGATAACTTGAAGTTTGATGAAGTATATGAATTTTTTAACACATCACTTTATTTTAATATTGCGTTTAATGTTTTTTATACATTGCCTATTATGCATTTGCCCTTTATTACATTCATTGTTCTTGAATTATTTAATTACTTATTTATATATTTACATAAAAATAATTATATTGTTATAATTTTTTTCTAGGCATTTCTTAATAGTGGAATTGAATACTGTATCATTATACAGTTATCAAGGCCGTTTACTGGGTAGTCCAAGATGGAAAGGTTTTTCTTCAGAACCACTTTATCCTATTTGTATATCATTGTGTGCTGATACTTTGGTTGTAAAGGACCAAAACAATGAAAAACGTAAGATATATACATATAAAATGTTTTTGAATTCAGACTATAGATTCTAATTCTTCTATATAGATACTAATTTTAAGTTCCATGGCACGAATTAAAAATCGCATGCAAATGCAGTTTACAGCTTTTGAAAGAGTGAATCTTTACCTTTAATTTGCTTTTTTGTTGAGCGTTATACGATTTTTTTTCATCGAGTTATTCAACATTAAAG